GCCCACTCTTCCACGCGAGGAATTTCCAGCTGCTGCGACAGCATAATCAGCCCAGCGGCATTGTTTTCATAAACTTCTAGCTGCCCTGTGTAGAGATAGGCTATTAAAGATGAAGCGACACTAGAATAAAGTCATAATATAGCATGAACTAGTACTTGCGAGAAGTTGTTGGCCACCGAAGAACAACAGCCTGCTTGCTAATATCTGTTTCAATTAGACAGTCACGCAATGAGGGTACCCGTGAAGCAAAAATAAGTCTGTGTGCATGTAGCTGGACGTTGTGCTGTATCTTGGGAGAGACAGCAAATCAGGGATTAATGTAGGATACCTACCTTTATAGTCAGATCCGTCAGTCTGCCGGCAACACGAAAGTTGTTTAATTGGGGAAGAAATTTTATCAGAGGCGCTTCATCTTCAAAAATCTGGCTGTCCTGGTGGACCATTTTTACACGCAAAGCACGAGACTTAGCATGAAAATCAAATATATTTAGTTATCATAGGATATTTTATAGGAAGGGGCAAACAGATTTTCAACAAATGCTCTTCCACATCCTTAATTTACGTATAACGTTTGGGTTAAAATGTGCAGTCAAATGCCTTAAATTGAGATTGAAAAGGCCACTGGAGAATTTGGGATTTCAAATCGGTATATAAAGATCGTGACAGACGGAGTTTGCAAGTTTTCGTTCAACATGGTATCAGGCATGGCAATCCTCAGCATTCAACATCATTCTCTCCACTCGGCTGGACGTCAGTCTACGGTCTGAACAGACTAGCCTTCCTTTACTGGGAATGTGTGCAAAAGTTTGATAAAACAAAACATTCGTCCAATTTTTTTCAAAGATGGTCGGATATCTACACAACAACCTAGATGCTCGTAGAAAAATCCTAGACGGTTCTGCTCTCATATATGTAAAAGTTCCATGGCGACCAAATGAAGAAGCCGCCATTGCACTTGACTCTCACTCATCAGTCATTCAAAAACACAAGAGCGGTGGAGACAAAAATGTGCTTAATAGTATAACTGAGAAGGTATAATCGCACCTTTCGTAGCCAGGATTGACTTGAAAATGCATTGCTTTACGCCCGATATCTGCCTCTGGGTGGCCTCGGGGACTCTCCTTGCTGGCATTTGTTTCAACTGTGATTATATAGGATGCAGCTGACCTCCAACGATGTCTTGCACATCGTGTGTGCAAGTAAGGCGCAGCTGCTTTCCTTAGTATTTAATATAAAATAACTATAAATGTCCCCTTTGCTAAAACAAATACATGTCGTGGGATTTGTGTGCTGCGGGTTTTGCAATGTGTCGGTATATCGAAAACGTGTTACGACTTTAAGTGTGGTTTATTCAGGAAAGGGCTTACGACTACGTGCTGATGGTAAGAAATGTAAGTATAATAGATATATTGGAAAATTGAAGAATTCTCGTTGATAGGTATACAGGGTGTCCCAAAAATGTATACACGTTTTGAAGAATTGTAACCTTGATGTTTACTATTATTTTATTACTTCAAAAATGTAAAATTGTTTAGAAGTAACATTTTATTGTTTCTCTATTGCATTTTCCTATATTTTAAATAATTGAGAAAGAGAAAAGTCATCGAACATGAATGCGCCCAAAAACGAATGGAACTGCTTTATGGTGTGTGCGATTCCATTGCTTCGCGTTGTCACCAGTGTCTGGATTAAATGGACGTCAGTTTGAGAACATGCGGTAAAAAAAACAATAGAATGATACTTATAAATAGTTTTACATTTTTTGAATTATGAATTACAATAAACACTAAGTTTACGACCATTTAAAATGTGTATACATTTTTTGGGACACCCTGTATTTCGAGGAAGAAAATTTATAGAAGGGACGAAAGGAGCAATTTAGACGTTCTTTTGGTGACAGCCATAAACAAATCAAAAGTATAATAGACATTTCTCGTTTCTGTTATATAAACTTTACTCTGGTAGACGATCCAGGGGTTAAGCTTTAAAAAGCTGTCGTTCTTCAAAGTTATTTGAAAGTTTGTATATTAACCCCTGTGTTGGCAAAAATATATTTGCCAACACAGGGGTATGGTAAAATCCGTTTAATTTCAGGGGATCCAAGTCGAAGACTTGCATTCACGAACTATGGTTGCGGTGTATCGTTTTAGAAATCTACACTCTTATCAATAGATTATCAATAATCTCGTCTTTTAACAAAAAAATAAAATGGAAGTATTAAGATTAAAAAAGGAGCGTCCTGCTTCGCAAACTTCTTTCTCGGGAGCGTGGGACGGGTTGAAATCCCCGTTCCAATATTGGGGGGGGTCTGGGGGCTTCCAAAATGATTGTTTTGTCAAAGCAATGAAAAAAAGTAAATTTTGAAAAATGTGCACAGCACGGCACGAGTCTTCAACCCCGGATTCCCCCGTTACTAATAAACCTACATGGATATATGCACAAGGTTTCGCAGTACACACTGTGCTATCGGTAATTACCGATAGCTCGGAGTCTTTAGTCTCAGAGAAAGTTACAATCTGAACTATAGTAATGCTTCACATTATGACTTCCAGTTTATATATTAACTGTGTGAAAGAAAACACTTGAAGTTAAATGCTTTTTACATTAAGACGCAACTGCCTAATGCCCAAGCACAATAACGGCAACCCAGGCATCTTGGTGACGATATCATCCCACGACATATGCATTCTCAGAACTCACTGTAGACGGACGCACGAAGCTAAACGCGCTATCACGCAACAAATGCAAAGCTGCAACACTAAAGTTTTCTTAAAGATCTGTCTGAAGCTTCAGACAGATGTTAATAGCGCCAAGATTATTTTTTTTGTTTTGGAAACATTTATTCCGTTTATTTACCGTTTTAACACCGGCCACCCTTTTCGGTACTAAGTAGATTATATGAACTTTTACTCCAGTCCCTATTTGTACATAGCCCTCAGATTATTTTTTTCCGTTTTTGAATACTTCTACCGTTTTTTATCGATATTTTTTTACATAATACATTTTTCTATTATTTACACGTCTCCAAAAAAGTGCTCTTCTACTGCGTTTAGAATTGGGGGGTTTTTGCGAGGAATAGGGTAACCCCTGCGCGGATGAAACTTATGACTCTACATTGTAGAGCAATTGTAGAGTTGGAATCGGACACTACATTGGGTGCATTTCGAGCTGGAATCGGACTCTACATTTGTAGAGTTGTCGAGCTGGAATCGGATTCGTGTCGAATCCGATTTGCTAATAGGGAAGTTCTGCTTGCACCATCTTAGACATTATATCGTATAAACTGGAAGCCTGGCATCCCAAGAAATGTAATTAATTACGCTAAAATTCTCAGGTCTTCGTCAGATTTGAGGAATATGGAAAGAACAATTCATCGTTTTCCCAACGGATACTTTGTTTGAAAACTTCAACATCTTTAGTCGGCTAATTAGCCTAGCCAATAAAAAATACTGACATTAAAATGCAAAAATTATACTTATTCAACTGAATCAGTATTCAGTAGCATTTCCACGACTTACAGAAGATTTCTAAGTTAAGTATGTCGAAGCGCACGCCTTCGAGAAAACGAAATCGGAATATTTGCTGTGTATGCGACAAAAATGACCTCAAAATGTTGTGCGAATAAACAAAGAAGGCCTTAAATTAGCTTTCAGGGAATGAGATAGAACAAGGGGAACGATTCACTTCTAGATTTTATGCTATTTCTAAGCAAAAAGACCATAATTTCAACATTCAGCAGGGAGGTTACATGTCTTAACATTTTAAGAATGGACAAGAGCAAATGTATTTATTTATTTCAAAAATTGGGTTAATTGGTAAAGCACCTCTTTGGCGCCTTCCAAATCCTCGAAGACAGGAAAAATACCTAAAATAAATGCTATCGAAGAAACCGAAATACTCGTGTGAATATGTCACTGTCAGACAGACGTGCATGCGTTTACTAAACGAATTTTCATTTCAAAATTTCAAATCTAATCCTATTTACAGGGAAGTGTACTTGTTATTCTCAAAAGATAGTTTTCTAGTTATTTTTAGCAACCCATATCAGCCACTTGGAACCCAAGACAGGCCGCTGACTCATAGTGCCTTTAGCCTGCAAGGCCGGTGCGCCCACGCCAGCCTTCACCCATTTCATGAGAGGAGCGGTGGCGACTCACTTCTCATAGGCAAGCATGCCCTGA